CTCCCCAGTCCCTAATTTGCTTGTTCATAGCTCAGCTAGTATGTTTCCTCTTCTTTTTTTTATGATAGGTAGTTTATTACTGGAGAGTAGGACGTCAAGATTCAAACAGGCAATTTTAAGATTAAGAAGGGGAACGGTGGCTCTTGGATGTAAAGCCGAAAATGGATTGGGCTTCCTCAAAAGGTGGGATACAGATGGAGCTACAAGATCTGCAATAAATGATTGGAGATTCACAGTCCAGGCCCTGTTAGCATGGGACAGTGTTCGTATGGAGAAAAACGTTGTCAGAGCGGTTTATACTTTCAATTTTATCGAAGTCATATTTTTTTCCTTAAAATTATCACTAATTATTTACCTCACCAATCATTCTTTTGTCAGACTCACATGTTATCACTCATTTCTATCACATATTTAATTATTTATATATGTTCTCCCTAAAAATATCGTATCATTCGTTTCTATCATATATTTAATTATTTAATATTTGATTAATTTATAGTTAATATAATTTTTATTTCAAACATTATTCATATATAATAGTATATACATGTTGAAAAAATTTAATATAGTGAGATCGATTTTTTGAACATTCGAATTTTATATTTTATCGTACCTTCAGGCACGGATTATAACTAGTCTTATATATGGTTTATCCTCCTACCGAATGATTTTAATTCCACACCTCATTTCTCAATAGGAATGTCGGTGGATCGAAAAAATAGAGAGAATTGTTTAAATTCGTTCCGTTTAAATTAAAATGGACTATATGTACTGGACAGTAAACGTATATAAACCAAAACTTATCCTTGCACCGCTAATTCAAAACTCCAAGCGAGACATAAAAATATATCTTTATTATTGTTATTGTTATTGTTATTACTCAATTATGCGAAGATTACGTTGTTAACTTATTTCTTTGTTTTTTATTTTGATTATATCATATGATACAGACATATAATGATACAACTTGTACTTTAATTATTATATTTTTTTATTTTTTTTTTCTTAAAATCACATAAATTAATTGTTATATGCGAGAGGGAAGGCAGGGCCAGGTGGCAGGGCATGGACTAGAATTTACTTGTATGGTGGGGGTAGGGATTAAAATTTATCCTGTTAACAAAGATGGATCGGGAATAAACGAACTGTTTTTTAAGTGGATACGGTGTAGAGACTCCTCCCCCGGTCTATTATCATTTCTATATCTCAACCATTAATTTTAAAGTTTATGTTTTCGATTTTGAACTAAAAAAATAATAAGACATAAAAAATTTAAACGTATAACATTTTTATTAAATAAAAAAATGACATTCACTCATTATTAGGAGTAATCACAATGATCACATTTTTTTTTCTGGATTCTCATTATGTCTTTAGTTGGAGAGCATTTACAATAAGCTCTCCATTTGTATAAATTAAAATAGAGAATCTAATTTCATTATTTATATTTAAAGAGATAAACTCATTATATATTTTATCTTTATTGAAAAAAGATACACACGTTTCTTCTTTATTTGATGTTACTTACTGTGAATAAGTGTATTCTAGTCCAATAGAAGGTCCTATTGGAATTGTATTAAAAAAAATTACCGTGTTGTATTTCAAAATTTACTTAAAAATATTCTCTAAAATTTATATAATAAAGTAGTTAAATTATTTATTTTAAACTTTTCACGACTTAAATCGTTTTTGATCCGATGGTCCTAATTGGACTTTCATTCGTTTTATAATTTTAAGACTTTCATCCCTCGTATAACTCTATCTATCTATCTTGTATGCTTTCATATTATTATTATTTTTTTGTTTTCACTGTGTTGTTTTTGTTATTATTTATTTATAAAACAGATGAAACTATATGTTATGCAATTATTTATTCTATAAAATTAATTCAAAGTTTTTATATATCTAATGATATGTATTTTAACATTTGTTTCTTAATTTGTAAATAACACTTAATGTAAATAAAAATAACACATTAATAATAAAAAATCAAATAATATTCAACATGAAAATGAACCTTAGATTATACATTAATAAATAATTTTATAAAAAATTGACATTTAATTTTGTCCAATTTATATTCAACTTTGTCGAAATAATATGAAATTAATTTTTCCTGTTATCAAATTAATATTGAAATTTGTTTAGTCAATTTTTTGGAGTACTAAATTATATCAATTTTTAATTTTTTTTAGTACTAAATTTGGAGAAGGAGAATTGTAAAAATAATAAAAAATTTTGTGATGGAATTATTAATTTTGTTAATGACAATGAAGAAGGGAGGCAGAGGGGCCTCTGTGAAATGAATTCAAACCTCAAGGGATCTTCGTGTTATTTACAAATTGTCAAAAATGTGTCTGTATAATATTGTCAAAACTCAAGAAATGTCCATAATTTTTACTCTATTTTTTAATTATTATTATTTTATCTTAAAAACTTGAATTATTTTTTTTTAATAAAAACAGTTATTGGTTAGGAGGGTTTGTTAGTAACCAAAAAAGAAATGTGTGAGTTTTTTTTTTGTGTATTAAATAGTGATAGTGATAATCAATTCATGAGTTTTATAAATGAGTAAGATTTGGTTGATTTTATTTATCACTTAAATATTGTGAATTTAATTGTGTTATGTTTTTTTTTTTTTTTTTTATTTTGCATATAGAGCGGATTGGAAATATGGTGGTTGAGTTTATAATTATGTTGTGTTATTAGATTAAGTGGTAGTAGAGGTGATAAATTCGTGAGTCTTATAAATTAGTAAAATTTTATTTATTGCTTAAAGATTATAAACATTAATGAGTTATGTTAGTATTTTTTTTTCAGATGTATTTGTGTAGATGATGTTGTTTTAAAGAGTTTTTATATATTTTTATAATAGTACCATTAATATGTAAGATATGTGACAATATATTTCAAGTCATTTTAAAAGAAGAATTGATATGAATATTTTTAGGTCATTTGATACGAATATTTTTAGATCATTCTTTTTAAACTTGAGCAATTATTTTAAATTTTTTTATTTATTATATAATATTTCAAACAAAAATAATAACTAATATAAAATATCGGTGATAGTCGGTGACCACGTCACCGGACAAAAACTCTTGATCCAATCGTGTGGCTTTCCCGCTGACGATTGACTCCTTTCTTCTTTTTCTTTTCTTTTCTTTTCTTTTGATCGAGGATCGATTCACTTCGGGTGACAATTTTTAACATAAAACAAAAATATAATTTAAAATTAATACAAAATTAACGGGTTAAAATTGATTATTTTTTAACACAATATATATATAACACTGACTCGTTAGCACGAATAATAAATAAATTAAGTTAGTGTCAAACACGAATAATACGAAATTGATACATTTAACACATTTAAATAGTATTATAATAATAAAATTTTATTTTTTATTATATTTTATTAAATAATGACTTAATTCTTATAAAAAAATATATAATTTATTTTTTTTTATTATTATATTTATTAAATTAATTAAAAAAAATTTGAGCATAGATTCAGTAATAATAAAACCATGACAAGCCGATTTAATGGACTTGACTACAGAAGCTTGAGGTTGTACTTCGATGGAGGAATGAGAAAAGGTACAGACAGCCAGCCGCCTAAAATTTATTACTTCAGCCCTTTCGTTTCCCAAGAGTTAATATTTTTTAGAGAAAGATTACAACATTTTAAGAATAAATTATAATTTTAAATAGTATGCTCGATCATAAAAATTAAAATTGACAACAAAAATTCACGATCGATTACGAGTGTCATGATCAATCATTATCTTTTCCAGAGTAATTATAATTTTTCCTTTTAAAATTATAATTTAAAAAAAAATTGATGTAAAAGAACCCTAATTAGAACAAATATTAAAAAAAAAAAATTTATGTACCAAAACTCGTGTCTCACTAGACCATATATTCGGATTAACACCAATAATCAAACAAACAACCATAAAAGTATACTATTTTATCAGCTACCTTAAGAGAGAGCGACGATAAAAGTTATATGTTATATGGGCACAAACCTTAAGAGGTATTAGTGTAATATGTCAAATGTGAGCGAGTTTAAGTAAGGGTTAATCTCATTTTGCACTCTGAAAGATTGTTCGAATCTCAATTTGTACCCTCAAAGATCAAAAATTTTAATTTATACCCTAAAAGATAGAAATTTGTATCAATGTGCACCCCCAAAGATCAAAAATCTCAATTTACACCCTCAAAGATAGAAATTTGTATCAATGTGCATCCCCAAAGATAAAAAATTTCAATTTGCACCTTCAAAGATAAAAATTTGTATCAATATGCACTTAAAATTAAATTAATAAATTATACCTTGATCCCTTCATGTTTGTCACTTAATCATTTGAACTTCTTCACATTTAAAATATTCCCCTTACATCTCATGACGTTTATGCATGTGTAACACATAACCACTTTTCGTTGATATATATTAATATAATCGTTAAAAAATATGATTTTATCATAATATAAAATTATAATTTTATATTACCTTTTATTTTGTGGATTCGATAACTCTAAAGTTAAAAATCAAGCTTACCATTTGAATGTCTAATAAAATGTAGATATTTATATAAAAGGTAATATGAAAAATATTATATAAATATTTATATTTTATTAGACATTCAAATGGTAAACTAGATTTTGAACTTTATAGTATATTGAACCTATAAAATAAAGGGTAATATGAAATTATAATTTTTTATTAATATAAAATTATATTTTTTAACGGTTATATTAATAGATATCAATGAAAATGAGTTACGTGTTATACGTGCACAAATGTCATAAGATGTAGGAGTAATATTCTAAATGTGAAGAGGTCTAAATGATTAACTGACAAATATGAGGGGATTTAAGTATATTTTATCAATTTAATTTTAGGTGCACATTAATACAAATTTTTATCTTTAAGGGTGCAAATTGAGATTTTTTATCTTTGGGGTACACATTGATATAAAATTCTATCTTTGAGGGTACAAATTGAGATTTTTGATATTTGGGGGTGCACATTGATACAAATTTCTATCTTTGAGGGTGTAAATTGAGATTTGAATAATCTTTCAGGGTGTAAAATGAGATTAACCCTTTAAGTAATTAAGTGACATAGTAAGTTGATTATATTATTTTAATAACTACCAATAAATATTTTATCTAATAATTGTTAGGCTGAACTAACAAGGTTTATCTATTTTATTTTGTGTTTTATTATTAGTTGGTGATATCATGTGTCAATGATGACGTGATATCAGTGTTAGACCTAATATT